ATCAAAGATAGGTTGGATGTCTCGATTCCAGGGATTGGGATTTTAAGTTTGAATCGAAACGGTAATGGGCGTGTTTTAGAGTTTAAGGGTGCTATATACTGGTTAGGATATGATAATCCGGAAACTAGTCTTGGACCACTTAACGTATATGTTTTAAAAACTCATCTTGTATCGCTTGATTTTGATTCCGAGGAATTCAAGTTTGTCGAATTGCCTGATGCTCTTAAACAAACAGGTGTCCTTCAAAACTGTTGTTTTGTCCTCGACGAGTCTATAGCAGTTTTCGGTATGTCTCCTGATCATACCTGTATATGGGTTTTGGTCGATGAGGATAAATCATGGCGGCTTTGGTATACTGGGGATTCAAATTCAGAAGCTCTTCGGTTTTTTAGGGAAGGTCTTTGTTTGCAAATTTTTAATGCTGAGAAAAACACATTTTATGTGTTTGATTTTGATAGACGACTGTACTCTTATAATTTCAAAAGTCACCAGATACAACAGGTGGAAAATTATGTAGATGAACATTATAATTTAAAGAATTATATGGAGAGCTTGATACTGCACAACTGTACAAGCAAAACCAAGGGAAGATTTTGACATGATTGATGCTGAATTTAGTACTATAATTCCTCATGTTGTTATTATACAATGTTCTCCTGTTGCTAGATACTCTGTCTTAGATTTATTTCGTAACATATTAACATTTCAGTGAGCGTTCAATTGACCATTGGCTTAGCATAATTTTTTTTTTTTTGACACAAGCTTAGCATAAATTAAACTATAACGCAAATGCCTTTTTTTTTTTTTTTTTTTTTTTTTTTTTTTTTTTTGTTTTGTTTATTGTTGTTGATCTTCTCCATATAACAATCATGTGTTGATATTAGGGGTGAGCAACCCTGAATCGAAATCGGAACCTGTTCCGGTTTCAGGTAGCAAATTAGAGAACCTATTGTAACAGGTTCCGGTTTTCAATTTTTTAGAACCGGAACCTGTAGGGTACCCTGTACCTGATAAAAGTATCACTTAATTTCAAATTATACACTAATTTTTAATCAATTTTTAAATAATAAATATCAAAATTACAATTACAAAAATATATATATTAAATTTGTTAGACAACTACTACTAATTTGTCTTATTTGCAAGTTGCAAACATTATAAATTAGTGACCAACCAGTTTTTTATTGAAAAATCCTCGAAAAAGTTAGTGAGTATATTATAATACAGGGTACCCTGAATCGGAACCGGAACCTAACATGTAGGTTCCGGTTCCCAATTTTCAGGAACCTCCGATTCCGGTTCCCATTTTGAGGAACCTGTTGCAACAGGTTCCGGTTCCTGGAATTTTTATAGGGTACCCTGTTATGCTCACCCCTAGTTGATATATGAATTTTTCTAGCCGACCCCACTTATGAAATAAAGACTTTGATTGATTACTAGGTATAATAACTGATTAATTGTAACTCTTATACTAAATTGCAATTTTGCATGATCGTCAGTCCAGTTAATGTTTATTTCTTGGGTAGTAGGTGATAGAGTATAAAACATATTCATGAACCTCAACCATCAGTTTAAGATTTTGGTTGAGTTGATCCTTTAACATGGTGGTATCGGTGGGTGTGTATAAATAACTCTTAACTAAATTGCAAATCTGCACAACCAACAACAGTGTGGTTAATGTCTATTTCTTGGTTAGTAGGATGAAATCTTGCAATAGTTATGGTTTGGATTTTTTATTTGCGACGTTTGTCAAAGATGTAAACTGTGAGGATGTCGTGGAAGAGAATTAATCATGAAAATATAATTAAAATAACTATAGTTTCATGAATCATGATCAAACCTCTTCATCGATTACTCCTCCTTGAAAGCCAATATTACGAAGAAACATAAATTTATAGGGTAGGGCTTGTCAATTTGGTTGTTACTTGAAAGCCAAGACCCAAGATTATGGACAATTCAACAAGAAACATAATTTAATACGTGGAAAAAAAAAATTGGAAATTAAACTCGCCGTTGCCGGGGATCGAACCCGGGTCACCCGCGTGACAGGCGGGAATACTTACCACTATACTACAACGACTTTGGTGTTGATTTATTTATTTTTTAAAGTTAATTAAATTGTAGTAATTGTTATTGTATATTTGTATTTTCTTTATTGTCGGTACCTCGGTGGAATTTTTGAGGTTTTTCACTTTTATTTTTTGTGCTCTTGGGTAATGACTAGTGAGTGCCAAAATGTATAGTAGGAGTTTAGGACTAGTGTTAGTTAAATCGCGGTATGCTAAATAAGTTCAAACGTACAACACATGGTCTAATTTGAAAAAAATATTAGTTTATTATCTTGATAAATAAATTATATATTAATAAATATGATTTTTTATTAAATGACAAAAACAAAAAAATCAACAATTTTTTATTTTACAAATATATGGGGTTCACTTGTTGATATAATTACAACCATGTTTGATTGGATATTTTTGTTGATAAATTTAAGAATTTACCACTTAATAAATGTTGTTTATTAAGATGATTAATTGGAATTCTCTTGTCTAATTTTGTTAACTAGACTACACATGTAATATTGTACGGGATATCATGTAACACGTAGACACGTACCAGTATAATTCGCATGTTTCAATTCGGTAAATAATTACTCCATAACTATATAGTCTATATTTAGACCCTAGAAAACAAAATTGCTAGCAACCATTTCTTGAACGGCTTTGATGTATAAATGTAAGATAGCCGTCAGCTTTGCTCTATGTGCCACTTCCTTGCAAAATATAAATCATCTCATGAAATATAAATTAATTTTTTTTTAAAAAAAATTAACATTATAAAATTACTTATAATCAAAATAATGAATTGAAAAATGTGAAAATAAAATGATACAATTATTTTGAAACAAATTATGCATTGCTACACATTGCATGAAATATTTGATAATCAACAACTCATCTCCAAGAAAGAATATATGTTAAGTTATTTTTCTTCTGGAAAATACAATTAGTTTGAAACACACTTCTTATTATTATATTGCAAATTCAAATCTGCCAAAATTGCGAAGTTTTAGCGAAATGACTCCATACAAATTAGGCCCGATTCACCACGAGTATCTCATCTTGCCACTAAATAGGTACAACATTATCTACCTTTCTAAGAAATAACAATAACATCAAATCATGGACAAAAGATAACAGCGCATCAATTAAGCGATTAAAAGTACATCGCAAAGCACAATAGTTTAATTACATATATAATAATATAAACAAAAGTTAATTAAGGGCACCATCGATCAAGTCCAATCGATCTACTAGTAATTGATATCACCTTGCTCGTTCCTCTAATCCTCTCGATCTCCACCTCTATGTTGAATTTAATTTTCTTGGGAATGTGACAATGTGTAGGAAAATATTAAACTTAACTTTTAAAAAAAAAAACTTAAATAGATTCATTCCCAAGTCCTGATATAACAGGTAACCAACCAATATTATATATGGCTTTCATAGCATGTATTTGCATTTATTATAAATTAAACATTAAAATAAATCAAACGCATTACAAAATAAAAGTTACCCTTAAAAACGATTAAAGTTATTACTAAAATTGTTAAAATTACCCTTAAATTGTCCCCTCCGCCATATACAAATATATAAACTACACTTGACAAATGGCAATTCAATACCAAATACAAATATAACTAGGATTTCTTTGTTTCTTTGATTGACTTACCAACTACAATACCTGTATTGCAAATGTGCATGATCATCAGCCCGGTTAATGTTTACTTCTTGGCTAGTTCATCGTAGGATGAAATCTTGCAATACGAAATCTGATTTTCTTTGCGAAATTCATCGTCAAAGCTGTAAACTCTGAGGATGAGTCGTGGAAGAGGTTTAATCATGAAAACATAGTTTGATTATATTTCCATGATTAAACCTCCTCCTCGACTCCTTCCTGTAAACTCGAAGCCACCAATACGAATACTAGTTAATAACAACAGCAAAACAGAATTAAAGAAAGAATTGTAATGGAATTGAGCTTAGTTGATTTCTATAGATGGACGGAATTTTTGTTGGGTTTAAAGACAAACAGAATATTTGGAAAGGGTTGATAATGAAAAGAAATTAATATGATGTTGGTGTATATGAACAATACAGGGTTTGTCGGTTTGGCTGTTCCTTGAAAGCCAAGATTATGAATAAGTCAACAAGAAATATAAATTTTATACGATAAATATATATGCCAAAAAAAAAAAAAAAAAAATTTAAAAAATCGCCGTTGCCGGGTATCGAACCCGGGTCACCCGCGTGACAGGCGGGAATACTTACCACTATACTACAACGACTTTGTTATTAAAATATACTATAATTAATTATTCATCTTATTAAAGTAAATTTTTATTATATACGGAGTATTACGTATTTGTATTTTCTTCATCGTCGGTTCCTCAGTGGAGATTTGAGGTCTTTATTTTTACCTTTTTTATTCAAAAAAAAATAAATAAATTGTTTTATAATAATTAACTACGGAGTATTGAGTACCAAAATGTATATTTGATTATTAGGAGTTTAGTGTTAGTTATGCTAAATAAGTTCAAAAACGCAATACATTGTTTTATATGAGAAATACAAGTTTAGCACCTTGATAAATAAATTTTGTTTAGAAAAAACTGAAAATAAATCAACAATTATTTTAGTAACTATGAGGTCTACTTAATATAATTGCAAAATGATCATGCTAACTTGACAATTTTGTTAATTTATTTATGATTTTATAATAAACGAATTTTGTTTATCAAGATAATAAGTTGGGACTCGTCTAATTTTGTTAAACTAGACTACACATGTAATAATGCACGGGGTACCAAGTAAGTGGCGTAACATACTAACATGTACCAACATAGACAGTCTAGACACGTACCAATTCGCATGTTCTAATTTGTACTCCATAACTACATTTGGACCCTAGAAAACGAAACTGCTAGGCGCTAGCAACCATTTCTTGAACTGCTTTGATGTGTAAATTATAAGATAGCCATCAGCTTTGCTGCGTGCCACTTCCTTGCAAAATACAAGGATGAAGACTGATGCAATAGAATTCGACAGATTTTTACATCAACCTTTACAATTTTTTCAGATAGACAAAATTGACGATACTAATATGCTAATAGTTTTATAAGTATACAAGTCAATTAACACAATTTGTTGGACTGATTTAAACCATGCTAATCCCAGATAAGGGTATACCTGCCTACTTGCCTAGGTCTTCTCGATAGATGAGCTTCAACAGTTGAGCTGTTAGATAACAATGGTACTGAAAATTCGTATGTAGTAACCAAGTTTTCAATGGTTGGGCGGCTGTCTTCACAATATGATAAGCGTCTAGCTTTCAGTCCTCTTTGATCCTGGTTAACACAGAATGTAAATGTGCAACAAATAAAAGTCATTAAGCAACGACACTTATAATAAGAATTATTAGAAGTGAGGTATATTCGGGATCTGGAAACTAGCATCTTTCATGCAGACTGTGATTAAAAAAAAAAAAAAGAAAGAAAGAAAGTAATGCTTCTGCAACTAAAGGTCATGCTAATGAACGATGACAATGTTCACAGTAAACAGAATTGGCAACTTAGCAGAAAGAACCAAAAAATGGTGAAGGATGATGTTGACAAAAATACTTTGAACAACACTATGTTTATAACTTGAAAAACCAATGCTATCTTTGTTTGACTAAAGGATGATGCACAATGGTGGACAAAGCAAGAATTTTATGATAGCATTCATAGTGGAGGGAGTTGCCGACCTCCATAGTGATTAATTACAGAAATGAAGTTCACATAGCATTTATAGAGAGAACAAGTGAACTATACTACTCTATTCCCATACCTCATTTTTTCTCTCATATCATTCCAAGGCAGAAAGAATTTTCAGTGTCCTGCTTAAGAGGTTCAGACAGCTTCTGGTTTTCCACTCGCTGCAGCTGAGATGACAATTGAAGCAAATCAATAGTTGTCCCATCTTCACACAACAAATGATCCTTGATGTTCATAAATTTGGAACGGTGGTGTATCTCATTTCCAAATTCAGAGTGTGCATTATTACCATAATTAAGCATTGACATGAAACTTGGTTGATTTCTTTCTGTAGAGCTGACAATAACCGAAGAATACCTGTTTTGAACTTCACTTGTTAAAGCCTGAGCACCATTTCCAAAGATTTTTTCAGAGACTTCGTTCACACTATATTGTGGACTACTGCTTGGTATAACTACAGGGTGACATCCAGGCATTGCAGATGAATGGCCAGAAGAATTTTGTGATTGAAATGACAGAAGAGAGAGAGCACAACCGGACTCTGATATTCCTGCTAATTCTTGAACGGTTGATGCTGCGTCCAAAAGAGCCAAGTCTTCATTCCTAGGTGAGTTTGTTTGAAACAAGGAATGTGAAACTATTTCAGGCGTATGTTGATTGACATTCTTGCCAAAGGGAAATTGTGTTCCAGTATTATTTGTGTTGTCAATAAAAGGGAACTGTTTTTCAAAATCATAAGGGGGCAAAATAGATTTTGGCTGAAGCTGTCGATTTATGCAACTATATGTTGGCGTTTGTGTACAGCCTGTTCCATCCTCAACCTTGATATGCTTAACCCAATCATTCGTTCCATATTTCACTGTATGGGAAATGCCTCTTGGTAGTATATCTTGGCAAATAAAGGATGTTGAGGTAGGTGTAAACCCCTGAAAATTGCTTCCTACAGAGCATTGAAAATATCTATTGTTATAAAAAGGCATGATGCTGTTTTCCATGAAATACACTCTATAGAAGCTAGGACATTATTGAAAAAAAAAAAAAAACTTGCGAAGTATGTGCATTACCATATAATGATTGATGCAATGACCAGGTAACAAAAATACTAGGTTAGCTAGCAAAGATGTCAGGTTAAAAAAACTACTTTTCTTTTGGACTGAATAAACTACAAAGAGACAGAATGCAAAAAAAAGAGAAAATCGAAATCAGCTTAACAATAGTCATCATTCAGCACCAAAGTTTGTTTTCTCCAACACCTTCCTTTTTATTTACTTTCTTCTTGCCAAGGGTGGATCTCACAAGGTATTAAATGACAATTCAATGATAAAAATGTATGGATACATCATACATGTTGAAAATATATGCAAGATAAGGTACATTTTAAGACATTTTATTCTACAGTTGAGTGTCTAAACCACCAACAACTCTGTTTTAATATATATACTTTGTACAAGAATAACAACATAGAATTAAAATGCAGACAGAGGTCAATTAGGCAACAATTAGCAGGTAAGTTGCTCCAAATTGTAGGCTTTTGGATCAGAGAGGGCATGGTGTGAATCATGGGTATTGAAAGGTAATCATGATCCAATCATTAGTATAGTATGCACAAAAAAATGAAGTTGAAGATGTAAAGAAGACACTTCCAAGGGAGGGGAAAAAGGTTTCATTTGCATCATATCGAAGGAATTAACAACTTCTTGGATTTGAAATGCTCCAATTTTCTTAACCAAAATCTAGAAGTGGGCTAAATCATTGCAGAGCAGAGCATTGCGCTGTACAAAGAACCCTATAATCAATTACCATTTAAAAAAGACCCTCACTATTATTTGTCAAAAAAGTAAGACCACCCCCTCCCCCCTAATGACGCAGAATCCAAATTGATTGAAAGTGGCATATTAATCCACAGCCTATAAATGTCACACATTTACAGCTTACACTTTTCTACTAGGTGAGACTAATTTCAAAAATTTCATGAGGTAAAGAGGATAAATTGATGTTACCAGTGTATGACTGAAACGATCTCCCATTTCTATTACTAAAGCCTACTTGAGGTTTCCTTCTCCTTTCATTGTGACCTGCAAGTCGTTTACGACAGCTTCGCTTACCATCATCAAACTCACCCAGCAAATGGAACCTGTATCACCAAAAAGCCAGTTTTTACAACTGAAAATGTCACTTTTAGCCATTAGAATAACTAATAGTTACCGAATATTCAAAATGTGTTCTAAGATTGTATCACACACGCAAGTGGCATGGATTACGAGGAAAAGTCTAGAAAGGTAGACATTGTATGAAAGAGGAGTATGAAACATCACGAAACATGAAGAAAGCAAAATATTTTGGAAATTTAATACTACTTAATTGCAAAACATAATAAATTAGGAGCTTAGCTGAAATTTTACAACCAGATGCATCAAGCATAAGTTGATACTTGATACAAACTTGGATTTATCAAAAGGTAAAGAAGAGATCCTATCACGAGCTGCAAATTCTCGTCAAAAACATAATGTTATCAGTGTTTCTTTCAATCAAGATAGCTGGTAAATTATTAACAGGAAGCACAATCAAGAGTTTTGTGAATATGGGGTTAAGAGGAGATTTATTAGCAAGTTCACTGCTGCTCACGTAATGTTGTATCTACAACCCAGGATCGGAAGGATGAGGTCTTACCTGATGAATCTAAACTAGTAGGCAGTCCAAAAGATCCAGAATAATAAACAATATTGCAAAACAATAGCTCCACTTTTTCCTACATAATGAATAGAAGCTCTAAATGTACTCATGCCCATAAGGCCATAAGTGGATAAAGAATAAGGAGAATCACAAACCTGCTACACTGCTGACAAAACCTCTGCTCAATACCATTAACAATAACTTTAGGAGTCTTCGAATGAACATCACAAACTTTATGCCTCTTGTGGTAATCTTTCGCGGAACTGAGATCTTTATGGCAGCCATAAACTTGGCAATGTACAGCCTGAGAGATAACTCGAACCCTTTTTGGAGGTGTTGAAGAGTCAGCTGAAGACAAAACATGAGCTGTTGCTGTTCTAGTTGAACTAGAATTTGGATTATCACCAAATCCACCCAATTTCAAATCAATGAGTGGTGATTCACGGCTACTTGAGTCCATAACCGAGCTTGAAAATTTAGAACTTGATTCATCATCTCCAGAAATGGCATTAGTAGTAACATAAGAACTATAAATATCTCCATCACTACCATTATCCTCTAACTCATTCCTTGTTGAATCAGTAGGACATTGTCTTCTTACCACTTCTGCAATACCCAATTCAGAAAAACTACGATTTTCGACTGATCGTTGACTAGGGGTTAACACACTATCCTCATTGCTAAGAGGGGATTTATGTTCCCAACCTATCAACACATTTTTACCTTTAATAATTGAATCAGATTGAGAGATTGCTTCATTTGATTCAAAACCCTTATCCAATGAATCAAACCACCAGGATTCCATGATATACAACAAGATCAAAATTCCAAACACCACATAAAAATTCCCCAACAAAATTTTGCAATTAATTCTCTTAATTTGATGTTTAGCACCTGAAAACACAATCAAAATCATACAATTGAGCTAAAATTTGGTACAAAATCGCAAACCCCACTGAAAAGAACCATCAATTAGTAGTTAAACACCAAAAGTCATCAAATTAAAGCTGAAAATTTGCAAAAAATAAAAATTCTGAAGAAACCCAATTATACAAAAGGCAACATCAAAAGAACCCAGATAGCAAGAAGCAAAACCCCATCAAAATTCAGTGAAAAAAAGTCAAAATTCAGAGATAGATCATTCAATGTACAAATAATTACTTTACAAAACCAAAAGCAATGAAGAAGAAGCTCAAAACTGGATAAAAAGAGCACTTAAAGAGATTACCAGTATTTGGATAGAGTAATGAAGCAAACAGTAGATAAAGGAGTAGGTACTAGGAATAAATATTTATTCTTTTTTGGAATTTTTTATGTTTTTAAATTTTCAATTGTCTGAAGCTTAATCAAGGGTTTTTCTGGTTGCTTTTCTAGTGGCTTTTTGGGAGGCAGGGGAGTAATAGAATTGAAGGAGAAGGGTGCAGTGAGCTTTTTGTCAATTCTTTCTTTGCCGAAAAAAAAAAACGATCTTAATTTCCACAACTTTCAGGCATAATGTTAGGCTGTTTTAGTCAAAAGATTTTGACAAATTATCCATTGCCCATACGAGGGTGTTCGAGTATATATATATGGGGATTAAGGCCCTGTTTAATACACCGTTATTTTTGCTTATCTGAACTTATCTGTTCTGGTCTGATTTGATTATATTTGAAATGGTCTGATTTGATTATAAACGATTTGGTCTGAATAGATCTGATTGTTTGTTTTGACCAAACTTTAACCTTAAGTGTACGATAACTTGTAGGGAAAAAATATATCAAGTGAGATCTGGTTAAATTCGTTATAATGTGTATTTTAATAATATGTAATTTTCATAATTTTTTTATTATGAAATTAAAGATACTCCCTCCGTTTTTAAATACTTGCTCCATTTCTTCATGCGCGGAGTTTTAAGAGAAATTAGAGAAAGTATTAAAATATGCAGATAGCGGGGTTGGTGGAAGGTAAATTGGAGGAGAGAGAATCTAAAAGTAATAAAATTGGGTCCACTAGTTGAGAAAAATGAATTAATATTATAAAAACTTTCCAAATAAGGAAATAGAGCAAGTATTTAAAAACTGCCGCAAAAGAAAAGTGGAGCAAGTATTTAAAAACGGAGAGAGTATTTAGCAATAAAAAAAATTGCATGTAAAACGATGATTTGATCTGAACTTATTTTTTCTGATCAGAACTTATTTTTTCTGAAATAAGTAAAAATAAGTTGAACTAAACAAGGCCTTAATTTATTAGAACACTTGGTACCTTTTAATAAGTTTGCATCCTCAAAAATATTCTAGTTCAATGTTAAATTTGACCGTCTTTTGACCCAATCAATCCATCAATTATAGTAATTTTCATTATAAATTGAGATTAAGAAGGATTACTTAGAGTTGAATGTATAAAATTACCTTTAAATTATAGTCGTATTATTTTGAGGTTTAACATGATTTTGATTAAACTTTGCACTCTTTTATGGTTAGAATTGGTTATTTATGTTTATTATGATTTGCTATTTTGCACATATTTATTGTACTCCATATTTTATTATTGAGATATGGTATAAATAATTAAATATATATCTCTGGCTCTCCCATGTTCGTTCTCTCTAATAATCTGGAACACGTCAAGTCACTAATCAGGAATTGGTGTTTCAATAACAAAAAGTTATGGGGTGTCAATTGGAAACATTTCTCAAAGGATCTTGGGAGAGTTACTTCGCACGGTTCATGATGCCTCTCTCTACATGGCAAATGTTGTTACTTCAAAGGAGAGTATCTTATTGCAACTACAATTCTGGAGACAACGTTGTAAGAAAAAAAAACTGGATTTTGAAAGGTGATTGCCCGTCTAAACTTCTATTCTCAAAGGTCAAATGTCGACAGAAGAAAAATGATATTAGCTCGTTACTTGATGATCTTGGTGTTCTCAGCTCCAACATGGGCAGACGGATATTCAGCATGTTGTTGTGCAATCTCTTAAGAACACTTTTAAAACTGATTACATGCCTCCTTATGATCCGGAAATTGATACCGTCCTGCGGGAGTTGGATCTTCCTTGGTTCAATTCCTCTCAATTGCTAATTTGGAACATCCCTTCCTGCTTCTGAGATTTTAATTGCCATGTTTTCGTTAGGAAACTATAAGTCCCCGGGGCCAGACAGAATTACAGTAGAATTTTTCAAAACTCAATGGGACATTGTGGGAGAACCAGTGGTTTTCGTCATTCAAAGTTTCTTTGAAATGGGATTCCTCTTGAAAGAATGGAATCAGTCACTCCTTGTCATGATTTCTAAGATCGGTAATCCAACAGAGATGGGGCATTTACATCCTATTAGTCTGTGTAACATGGTGTACAAATGTGCTTCTAAATGCTTGGTGGCTAGATTGCGCCAATATCTCTCTCTTCTAATCTCATATTCTCAGCACGCCTTTGTTCAAGGCCGCGTTATGACGAATAATATTTTATCGAGTCATGAATTAATGGAGAAAATCAATTGTTCCAAAACAGGCACTAATTGGCTTGCTTCGATCAAAATTGATATGAGCAAATCTTATGACATAGTACAGTTCACTGGAGTTTTCTTTTGCAGGTCTTAAAAGCCTATGGGTTCCTAGCTCGTTGGTTACAAATGATCCAACAATGCCTCGCTACGATTACTTACAAATCTTTGATCAATGGTACAACCTCGGATACCTATAAACTACAATGTGGTCTTCGTTAGGGTGATCCTATCTCTCCGTATCTTTTCCTATTCTGCATGGATATTTTCTCTCGTATGTTGCAATCCGGGACAGGATTTAATGCTTTTTCAAGGAATCAAGCTGTCTAGAGCAAGCCCTTCTATCTCGCATTTATTCTTTGCGGATGATGCTCTTATCTTCTTTCGGGCAATGTCTGCTTCTTGCTCTAATATCATGTAGATCATTCAAAGATTTACTAAGATTTCAGGAGAAGAACTAAACTTGTCAAAATCCTTGATAAAGTTTATCCCAAATATATGGCCCTCATCTTCTCAGGTAGAGTTCAAACCAATATTCCAAATGAAGCATGTCCAGGTGTTCGATCATCATCTGGGGGCTCCAATCGATTTCGTCGGAAAAAAAAAGGACCACTTCCAATTCATCATTGACAAAATTATTAGATGAATTAATTGCTTAAATGATGTCTGGTTCTCCCAATCACAGAAGTTGATTTTCATTAACTCTATCCTGGTGGCAATGGCGTCCCATGTTCTCTCTTGCTATGAGTTACCGGTCTCTGTTACTGGGAAAATTGATTCCTTACCAATGCGCTTATTCTAGGCGCATTCTGATACTAAAGGAATGCATTGGGTCAAGAAGGATACCATGCATCTTCCTTGTGGCCTGGGTGGCTTGGGCATTCGCTGCTTGTCATCCTTAAATAAGGCATTGCTCATGAAACATGTTTGGAGACTCTTTTCCAACCCGCAACTTCTACTGTCAAGAGCTTTCGGCGCCCATACGACCTTTCTTTCCTACAACCCTCACAGTGGGCCTACCTTCTCTAGTCGTCGTTCTTATGGTCTTTGGGGGTTACTAAAGGCGGACACCCTTTTAAACAGGGTTGGAATTGAAAAATTGGTAACGACCGATCTACTCTCGTTGGTTCGGCTAAATGGGTCAATGGTCGCAATCCTGAGTTTAAACCTAGAATTCCATTGCCTAATTTTGTTGCTCATACCATTAGTTTTTTTTTATCCATCCTTACTCATTAGGGTGGGATTCTACTAAAGTTCTTGACTGGTTTGTGCCTGCGGATGCTTCTGCAATCCTTGCTTCGGAAGCACCTAATTTGACTCAAGATGACTTTCGTTACTGGGCTAGTACCCCTTCAGATAGGTACTCGGTAAAAACAGGCTATGTAATGCTTCAACAACAACTTTCTCCAGAGGCCACTCATTCTTCTTCTGACTTTTTCTGGAAAGTGCTTTGGTCTCTCCAGTTACAACCTAAATGGAAGTTGTTCTTATGGAAACTACTACATCAGGCTCTATGACAGGATAAAGTCGTAGTCACCTAATCAAAAGTAATTCCTAAATCCTCTAACTATGTAGATAGGGAAGAAGGGTCGAACCACAGGGAAACAAGTCATTTATTCCTAATTAATTAAAAGTAATCTAAATTATCAAGTAACAATTTGTTGTTATTAAAGGACTACACTACGAAGAATATGAGTAGGGAGAAATAAAAGTAGGAGGAATCAAATAATAAAATACCTAGGGCATAGGTTCACTAATAAACAATATTTCAGGGTAAAACATACAATCAATCATCAATGCATCAATTAATCAAATCATAAAGGGCTTTCGCTACGTATTACAATCACAGAGTTAATTTACCGGTATTAAATCTCATCTCTCGAATCTCGACCTAACCATTTATAAATTAGTCCACCTATTGAAACTAAGCCTAAACATCAATTCTCATCTCAAGAATCTCGAATCAATATTGCTAAACTCATACAATTAAACCAGGCCTAATCTAATTGCATAGCATTGAATAAATCAATACAAATTATGTAATCCCCCGTATTTTTTAAAATATTTTATAAATGAAATTTTATTTTATTTTATTTATAATATTTATTTGTTATTTTCCGAAATTTAATTTCAAAATTTTCAAATTATTAATCTGGGTCGAAAATTATTTGAACAAATTCTTGTATGCACCTTTATTCTACAATTTATGTCCAATCAAACAAGCCTAACCCATTTGTTTACTTAATTGACCCATTATTTTTATGAGGCCCAATCTTTCTATTTACCCTACAACATTCTCCCTTATAAATACCCCATGAATCCACAAAAATTTCCCACACAAAAAGGTTAGTCTTATTTTCTCCTTTGTTTTATTAATTTGTGTAATTATAATTATTGATTTATGGGTTTTGATTTTATTGTTTGAAATTAATTTAATTAGTATCAAATTGTATTTTGATGATTAAACTTTATAATTTCAGATTTTATAAATGTCATAATTTTCAGATTTTGTAAATTTTGTAACCTAGGGTTTTTAATTATTGAAAATCATGATTTTAGGGTTTTTATGAACAATTGATTTAGGGCTTTTATAGTAATGATGTTTTGAATTTTGTTGATTATAACTAATGAGTAGTTTAACTTAATTCCAGATTATTTTGAATACGTAAATTCGTGTTTTAATTTTTAGATTTTCGTTCGTTAATATTAATCCCGTTTTAATCCCGATCAGGTTTTTAACTCATCCGATTTTGATGAAAAAGTAGTGTTTTTCATGTGAAAACAACGTTTTAAGATTAATAAAATATGATTTTCGGGCAGTTTTTGATTTTAACGAAGTTTTTTTTATACTTAAAATATTATCCTTGAGTTTGATTAATAAAATTAATTATGTTTAAAGTTAATTAAGCATAAATATATGTTTTTATTGAAGTTTTAAGTGCTGGAAATAGTTTCTAAGTACTACTTTTGATGTTTTATAAAGAGGGTTTAATCACCCATTAAAAAGGGAAATTATTAGGGGTTTTTAAATAATTTTCAGATTTTTATTAAACTTTACCTTGATGTAATTTCATGTATAAGAGTGTATTTTAAGGTTTTTATGAAGAAAATTTAAAGAACTATATATAAGCCTTTAATTTTAACTAAAGGGAAGGTTTTAAAGTGATGTTTGATTTGAATTTTGAAGGTTTTAAAGTAAGTTAGTATTGCTGTAAATTTGATTGATTGGGTATTGATTGAGAAGTTAT